GCTGTACTGCAACTGCCTGCAGGTCTATGCAGACAGAATTTATCATAACTAACGAGGAGGCTGATTGTTTTTGTTGTGTAATAAACTGGGCTGACCCAGACTCCTGCGTGATTTTGTGTTTGATGCAACAGTGATAAATAAACACAGATAGGAAGCCGTTAAAATGCCCTCTGGAGTCTGAAGTACCTCCTTGCAAGCTCTACTTTTGAAGTTGACTCTACAATCTGGTACAAGCTTCTTCATTCATTGAATAGTCTATTCTTGTTACCCTCTGATCCCAGGAAGGGTACCGATGCATCACTGCATGTTATAACACCATAGAACATCAAATTCATACAGCGTGTATAATGGGGTTAATGGTCCTGACTTCCTGAGAAACATCACTGTGCACTTGATGAGTGCCACTGTGGAAAGCCTTTGTGGCTTTAAGGCCTGGGATTATCAGGTCCTCCTACATTTTGTTCCTGAAGCCCTATCAGATTGATCCAAGACTTTGGGAGAAGGTCCCTGTCCTTCTCTTTGCCACTGTAAGCATATCTTCCTGTTTTAGCTAGTTATTTACCATATATATGGTATCTGGCAATAAGTAAGTTATTTTCAAATATTTACTATCTTTTTCTTTCCTGATGCCACAAATGGCAGCATAGACTCTCACCTGTGGCTTTCTATCTATTTATGTATCTATTATTATTATAGAGGATTTTAATAGTGCACAGTGCTTTACAAATTAAAGAGAGACAGTACAGTTACAAAACAATTCAATACAAGAAGATTGGAGGGCCCTGCTCGTGAAAGCTTACAATCTAAAGGGGGGGGCAAGTGATAAAATAGGTAATGCCAATGAGGGATGAGCTGATGATGTAGAAGTACATATTTTAGGTGGAGGCTGGATAGGCTTCTCTGAAAAGATGAGTTTGTGGGGATTGCCTATCTATCTATCTATCTATCTATCTATCTATCTATCTATCTATCTATCTATCCATCCATCCATCTACAGCAAAGCACACGTTGGTTATCTTATAGTTACAGGCTACTATGTATGCTGGCATGTATTGATGCAAGGAAAGAAAAATTTAAATAAGGACCAATCATGCTCCTGTGACGTTTCAATCATATACCAAATAAGACGAGTCCCTTAGCACAAGAACTTTTGCATCCTGGATGCAGCATAAAATGCTATCTGGTATGTTAAGTTAGGATTGCTGAGTGGTATTTCAAAACGTACAGCGCTAACCGTCCTTCAGAGGTGCATATAAGAACTCCGACGTTCAGGTCAGGATTTAACAAGTGCTAAAAAATTAATAATTAATAAAACATTCAGTGAAGGGGTGTGTCTCAAAATATTCAACGTGAATCGGTTGTGTGAACAAATAAAGGTCATAACACATCAAAACAGACAATATATAAACTTATCTACCTCTATTTATTTTCATCCAGTTTTATCCAATCTAACTTTTATCCATATTGTATTATTCTTAGTATTTCCATTAGCGCAAGTTTTTTGCAATTATTATAGGATTGCTGAGTGAATGCATTTGGCAGGCTGGAGGCACAGTGTAGTGTATCACTGTATTGCAGTATAAAATCTGTTCTGTACTATACTCAAAGACCATTTGTCACAGCCTTTTACCACTTTAGTTCTTACACCTGTATGCTACTATAAACTATATCATTTCTTACATTTCCGCTGTGGACCAATGATTCATCAATAATGCCATTACATGAGATAAGTAATATAAATATATACAGTGGGTATAGGAAAGAATCACCCCCTTTAAAATAATTACATGTTGTTGCTTTGCAGCCTGAAATGAAGACAGACACAGTTTTTGTTTTATCCAGCTGTATTTACTGTGCAACTTATAACACGCAAGTGAAATATATAACACCAACATGTCATGAAACAATTTAAAACAATCAAAAACAGAATCACTGAGTTAGAAAAAGGATCAACCACTCCTAAAAATGATTTGTAAACTCAATCAGGTGTAGCTAATCACCTTCTCAATGGCACACAAAGCCATTTTACTTTCAACTGTGGTCATTTTGATTAGCTCAGCATGAAAATAACTTTTCTGGAGCATTTCCTCTTAAGCAAACGATCAACTATGGGTGGCAAGGCACTGTCAAAAGATCTCTGGGATAAAGTTGTGGACAGGCTCAAGTCAGGAGATGAATACAAAAAAAATTCAAAGGCTTTATCAATTCCTAGAAGCACAGTGAAGCCTATTATTAAGAAGTGGAAGGTATTTGGCACAACACAGACCCTCCCTGGATCAGGACGTCACTCCAAACTGGATGAAAGAGGCAGGAGGAAACTGGTCAGAGAGGCTACCAAGAGGCCTACAGCAACTCTGAAGCAGTTGCAGGAATTTATGACAAAGAGTGGTCATTGTGTGCATGTGACAACAATATCCCAAATTCTCCACAAATGTGGCTTGTATGGGAGGTTTGCTAGAAAAAAGCCACTCCTCAAGAAAGGCCACATGCAGTCATGACTGATCAGTGGCGGAACTACCGCCGGTGCGGCCGGGGCCTCAGCCTGGGGGGGGCCCAGCACAGTTGCTGTGCAAATTTTTAAATGTCCCAGGAACATTTTATACTCACCTGTGTGCAGCTTCTGAGAAGATACGCTATTAGCGTAGTGGGAGCAATGCAAAATGCGCAGCTGGCTTCCCCGCTACGCTAATAGCGTATCTTCTCAGAAGCTGCACACAGCGCACCGGTTTAAATAGTTACCGGCATGCTCTATATGCATATTCTGACAGCCTGAGAGACGGGAGTCTGCGCTTGTCGGTCGTTCCAGGGATCAGGTGAGTATCAAAGGGTTATTAAACCCTCCGGCTTTTTTGCATATATAAGGCTAGCAAGCAGTAGATATATGCAAAAAGATAAGGAAAAAAAAACGCTTTAACAGCGCTTTAAACTTACCCCGTCTTTGCCGCGCACGCCCCTCCGAAAATCCGAAACTGCTCGGGCGGCCGCAAAGCATCTTGGTGCGGGCGCATGCGCAGTTCGGATTTTCGGCCGGGAGATGAGGAGAGACACGAGGTAAGTCTATGGACGCGTGCACCCGCATGCAGACAGCGTGGGACAGGAAGTGCCAGCAAGGACAGAGGAGTCAGCGCTGGATCGGGGACTCGCAGCAGCGCTGGAGGGACAGCCGAAAACATCAGGAAAGAAGAAGAAGATCTGATTAGGAGACATCAGTTAAGGTAAGTGCTGACATTTACATTGGGGGAGGGGGGAAACAAATTGACTTTAATGTCACTTTAACCACTTCCGGGCCGCAGTACGTCTATAGACGGCGGCCCACAGAAGTGGTTAAAACAAGAACACGGCTGATTGCTGTGTACCTTACAATCGATCTGGTGTCTGAACAGCCGCCGGATCGTTTGTACCGTGTGGCGCCCCCCCACCCGCAGCGGCCACTGGGTCGGTGGGTCTCCTTGCAATGATCAGAGAGAGATTCAGCAGCTTCCAGCAGCTGATCTTTCCTCCGATCACTGGACCCGGAAGTGCTGTCTATTACATCAATTCCGGTGTCACTGTACACAGTCTCCGGCTCTTAGAGCCAGGACAAGAAGCTGGGAAAGCAGATATCGGCTTTCTCAGCTTGTTTGGGGTCTCTAGGTGACATTAGGGGTCTAAAAGACCCCTGATGCCTCCATAAAGAGGACCCGTCACACCCTATCTGCTATTACACAGGGTGCTTGTTAGCCCCCTATGTAATACCAATAGGTTAGTGTAGATGCAAATTTTTCTGGCGATATAGCAACGCATCCCTGCTTTCTTTCCTCCCTCCCCACTGGGCGCTGCTCTGTGTCCCAGCGGGGAGGATATAAAGTGAATACCCTCTGAGCGCTGCGGGAGGAGAGCGCTGTGTTTGTGTTTTTTTTTTGGGGGGGCCCAAAAAAAATCTTGAACCAGGGCCCTTTGTTCCTTAGGTCCACCACTGCGACTGGACTTTGCCAAAACGCACCTTGAAGATTCTGAGGCCACATGGAAAAAGGTGTTATGACTAGATGAGACTAAAATTTAATTGATTGGGCTCAACACCAAACTATATGTCTGGTGGAAATCCAATACAGCTCACCATCCAAATAACACCATTCCTACAGTAAAGCATGGAGGAGATAATATCCTGTTATGGTGGTGTTTCTCTGCAGCAGGGACTGGAGCACTTGTCAGGATAGAAAGAAAAATAGATGGGGCAAAATACTGTTACATTCTTGAGGAAAATCTTCTGCCCTCTGCCAGAAAGTTGTCAATGGGCAGAAGGCTTACCTTCCAAAATGGCAATGACCCAAAGCAAAATTACCTCACAGTGGTTGAAGGAGAAAAAGGTGAATGTCCTTGCATGGCCTAGTCAGAGCCCAGACTTTAAACCCTATAGAAAATGTATGAAGATGTATGAATGACTTGAAGACTGCAGTCCACAAACGATCACCATCAAATTTAACAGAACTAGAAGTCTAGATGTACAGTTAGTAGAGACATGTTCCAACAGACTAAAGGCTGTAATTAAAGCAAAAGGTGGTTCAACAAACTACTGACACAAGGGGGTGATCCTTTTTCCAACTCATTGATTCTGTTTTTGAATTTGTTTAATTTTTTATGACATGTTGGTGTTATATCTTTCACTTGGATGTTATTAGTTGCACTGAGTAAATACAGTTGTGTCTGTCTTCATTTCAGGCTGCAAAGCAACAAAGACCAGTGTTAGTTTTAAAAAGTTTACCTGTGGATAAGAAAATTACTCCTGATCTGCTCATGTAATAGAGAACAAGTCCCAACTGAATTGGTTATATATGCAGCCAGAGAGATGCAGGGCATGTGGAAGAGCAAGAGCACACTTCACATGTCCAAAGTATATGAATTATTTTTTTGAGGCGAGTGTGCTAGGCAAACACAACTGGTTAAAATGCTCAATGACTGAACAGGATAACAAAATAGTTTAAACAACTTTACTTCATATTACAGGGAAGTAAAAACCTCACCTTAATCGCTCCACTTCTGCATCATCTACGAGGAAATCTCTTTTCTGTACCAGCTTCTGGATCTTCTGAATAAGTTCATCTTCTCTTTTCTTCTGCTGACTTGTTTTGTCTTTCTCTACAAAAGGATATCAGAGTAATCAAATAAATAAACGAAATGAACTTTGCAGCCTTCCTCTCACCATTCTATCAGCACTACAACCCCTCCACTCTCACTACTCACTAGTCTGCCAGCATTCAAACCCCTCACCTGAATTGTGCAGGCACTACATCCTTGGCTCTCGCTATTCTGTGACCACTGCACCTTCCCAACCTGCTCATGATACTCTGCCAGAAATAACCCTCTCACTACTGCTGTGCCTGTACACACCCAATCCCCGCAGGCTCTCTTCACTGCCACCAACCCAGCTGCCACTAACCCATCACCCCTTTGACTGTTCTGGAATCGATACACTTTTCATGGTAAATTTTAAAAACAGATCCCTAGAAAAGCTGCTAAATAAACAGTTTTTGGTTGATTTTTACCCATTAAAGCATTTGTAATTTTGTGCAGCTAAATTTGTGACTGACAAAACTTAAACTTTCTAATGGCACAAAGAATCAGATTCCCAAAATATACTTCCAGGATTTCCATTCTCTCTAAAATGAATTGTAGAGCAGGCTAGCAGTTCTTTTATACTGCAATGCTGGATAGTGAAGCGAGAAGTAAGAGTACCCAACAGAGGAGGAGCAGCAGCCATGTCCCTGGAGACCAACAGTGAGAAGAGGATATAGATTGGCTACTGTTGCAGACTAGGTAGAAGAGCTTCAGTGGCAAGGAAATACAGGACAGCGCTACAAGAAGAGGATCACCAAGGAGGTGCAGGCTTGAGAGGTAGGCCCAAAGCTTGGTGGGCTGCCTTTCACTTAACTTCACTTAGAAACTGCAGCCCCCTTCCTGATTTTTCATTGTTTTGCACGTTTGTCACACTTTAATGTTTCAGATCATCAAACAAATGTAAATATTAGTCAATGATAACACAAGTAAACACAACATGCAGTTTTTAAAGGAATTTCCGTGTTTGCGGATGACACCAAAATTGGAGGGTAATAGACACGGACTTAGACACTATAACATTACAGGAGGACCTGGATAAAATAGGGGAGTGGGCATTAATGTGACAGATGAGGTTTAATGTCGATAAATGCAAAGTAATGCACTTTGGAATTAAAAATAAACAAATGGGTTATACAATGATGGGTATGCCGCTAGGGAAGTCAGAAATGGAGAAGGATTTGGGGGTCATTGTAGACCACAAACTGAAAGGTAGCTTGCAGTGCCAGGCTGCTGTAAACAAAGCTAGCAGGGTTTTGTCCTGATTTAAAAAGGGGATGTATTGCAGGCAGGGGCGTAACTAGAAATCACAGGGCCCCATAGCAAAATCTTGTATGGGGCCCTGTGATTTCTAGTTACTCCCACTTGATAACCCAAACAGCCCACCTGAGGCTGACCCCGCAGAGCCCACCATAGACTCCCTATGTTGGGCTCTGCAGGGTCTCAGGTGGGCGGTCAAGCTCTCTTACCTGTCAGCCCCGATCCTCTGTCCGCCTCCTTCTCCTCCCTGATCATCTCCTCCCGCCTCCTCGATCGCCGGGCCCCGCCTCCTCCATCGCTGCCGATGACGGGCCCAGCCACCTCCTCCGAAGCTGCTGGTTGTCACCGGATCAGCAGCGGCTGTGAGAAGGAACGGAGCGTTCCCCCTCACAGCCAGCAGCCTGGCTGTCCGAGTCAGATGTCAGATGCCATAGCGACCCAGGCGGCCCGCACGGCATCAGGGAGATGTCCTGGTCGGGCCCCACCGTGCCACGGGCCCCATAGCGGCCGCCTGGGTCGCTATGGTGATTGTTACGCCACTGATTGCAGGGATAAGTCTATAATTTTGCCACTTTATAGATCATTGGTTCGACCTCATCTGGAGTACGCAGTCCAGTTCTGGTCACCAGTACTAAGAAAAGATGTCCTTGAGTTGGAAAAAGTCCAGCGGAGGGCAACCAAACTAATCAGGGGTATGGAGGACCAGAGCTACGAGACAAGGCTACTAAATTTAAACTTTAAAATGTTCACATTGGAGGTGAGGAGATTAAGCGGGGATATGATCTCCATGTACAAAATGTTCAATGGTGGTAGCAACATTAGCGATAAACTGTTTAAAATTAACTCCATTACAAAAACTAGAGGCCACCACCTAAAATTGGTGGAAAGAAAATTCCAGCACAAGGGGCGAAGGGGGTTCTTCACAGTAAGATCAGTTAGGGTCTGGAACTCACTGCCACAGGCGGTGATTTCAGCAAATAATGTGGAATTGTTCAAGAAACTTTTGGACGATTTCTTAAGGGACCGTAATATACAGGGGTACGGGTACTCCTAGAATGAGATCCTAATAGGTTGGACTTGATGGACTAATGTCTTTATTCAACCTCAAATACTATGTAACTATGTAACTATGTAACATGCAATTTTTAAAGGAAGGTTTTTATTATTAAGGAAAACAAAATACAAAAAGTTATATATCCAATTCTGTATACCTGGCTTTATATTATAAACTTTATAATATAAAGCCAGGTATACAGAATTGGATATATAGCTGTGCCACACTATACAGTGTTCTGGAGTCTGGACATGTGCTCATCTATTTTCCCCACTATGGGGATTAAAGCCTTAGTTAGCAATGGCAGGGTCTAAATATTAATTTAATTTCATTATTCAATGTCTTTTTTTATATTATAAACTTTATAATATAAAAAAGACATTGAATAAACTATAACATTTATAATATAAAGCCAGGTATACAGAATTGGATATAGCTGTGCCACACTATACAGTGTTCTGGAGTCTGGACATGTGTGCATCTATTTTCCCCACTATGGGGATACAAGACTTAGTTAGCAATGGCATGATCTAAATATTCATTTCATTTCATAATTCAATGTCTTTTTTTATATTATAAACTTTATAATATAAAAAAGACATTGAATAATGAAATGAATATTTAGATCATGCCATTGCTAACTAAGGCTTGTATCCCCATAGTGGGGAAAATAGATGAGCACGTGTCCAGACTCCAGAACACTGTTTTGTATAGTGTGGCACAGCTATATCCAATTCTGTATACCTGGCTTTATAATATAAAAGAAAAAGACATTAAATAATGAAATTAATATTCAGATCATGCCATTGCTAACTAAGGCTTGTATCGCCATTGTGGGAAAAATAGATGAGCACATGTCCAGACTCCAGAACACTGTAGAGTGTGGCACAGCTATATCCAATTCTGTATACCTGGCACATTTAAACAAATACAAAAGATATTGATATACAGCTCAAGGAATGACTTGCAATGTTATATTAATAATACAGCATGGTCAAAGATGAATGAATCCTTCATTGATATAATCACTATTCAGCAATGGAATTTTTTTTAATTGTATTTATTCATGCTGTATTTACTCAGCTATGAATCCATGGCTGCAATCCATACTTTTGCACCTGCAAGTTGCAATATCACAGGCAAAACCTCTGATTTTGCTCCAATTATAACTCCACCAAGTTTTTCCAAAAGTAAAAAAAATAATCTTAAACTTACATTTAGGCCTCATTCACATGACTAACAGCCATGCTGCGTACTGCGGGTGTCCCTGCTCGGACGCAGACAGGATCCATCCGCAGCACGTATCTGTACGGGCCGGCTGTCAGAACGGCGGAGCTTGAGCAATAATTTAAGGGCCATCAATCACTGTTAACACTAAACTGATGAGCAATAAAAGCTTTTAAAGCGTCGCCTATGGCCAATTTGGGCTATGGTCGTTTTTTGCAATTTTGCAGGCACGCACATTCTTAAAGCTTGACATGTTTGGTGTTTGTTTACCCGATGTGACCCCATCTTTTATATTTTACCATAAAATTGGATAATAATAAATGTTCCATTACATAACATATGGAAAACAGTTTTTTCTGTCAAATTTTTCAGTATTTTTTCGTTATACAGTAAAAAAAATAAAAAATACCACCAAAAGAGAGCTCTATCTGTCCCCAAGAAATTGTATAAAAATCATTTCAGTACAGTGTTGTATGACAGAGTAAATGTCAGTCAAAGAACCGCAGCGCTGAATACTGAAAAATGGCCGGGACAGGAAGGGGGTTTAACACCCTAGCCAAGTGGTTAAATAAAAAGTGGATAGTACTTTCTGCTAGTTCTAATAATCATAGTTTTCTATTTTCTGTTTTTTTAACCAAGGTGGAGTGCATTATATTTGGGAGCCTTTCAGAGACATCAGCAGAATGTCAGTAGTGTGGAACTATTTTAAAATTAACGAGAACAATGTACGCATGGCAGAATGCAAACTTTGCCCTGCAAAAATATCCAGAGGTGGAACAAAGTTAAGTTCTTTCAATACCAGTAATCTGATAAAGCATTTGAAAATTAAGCACAAAGCTGAATATGGCGAATTTGCTGCTAGCAATAGCAATACTAGCAGTAGCACTGCAGAAAACCTTTTCCAGAAGAGATAAAATGGCAAACCAGAGAGCTGTGAAAATAACCGAAGCGCTTAGCCAATTCATTGTTCTGGATGATCAACCACTTTCATTAGTCGACAATACGGGTTTTCATCGATTTCTCAATGTTTTAGAGCCAAGGTATGAGATTCCCAGTCGCCGGTACATTACAAATGTTAGCTTGCCGCAGATACACAATGCACAATGCAGTTAAGAAGCACATTTCCAGCATGTTGCAGAAGGAGATGAAGGCAATTAGTGTCACCACTGACATTTGGAGCAGTAGTGTGAGCCCACTGTCTCTCATCAGCCTAACAGCACAGTGGATAGATGGATTTCACTCTGCAGCAAGTGATGCTCCACGCAAAAAAAATTCAGGGCTCTCACAACGGTCAACAATAGCAATAATGCTAGAAGAAAACGTGTGTTCACGTTGTGGTCCCCGACAATGCCAAAAACATGATCAAAGGCATGGAAGATGCTGGACTTCCCAGTATTTCCAGTGTGGCACATACACTGCAGCTGGCTGTCTCTGAGGGCCTGCTATCACAGCGCAGCATTGCAGAAGCCGTGGTAGTCGGGCG